TGAACGACAGAAAATGATACCAGATGACTGTTGAACAGATTCAGATTTTCCCATCCTATCACTGCCATTATACAGCTTCTAATTCAATCAAATTTACTGTAACAACACTTAGTACGGCTTCATTTTAATTTCCTGTGCTCAGTCAAAAAAGCAGTGATTCATTCATTGCACATAAGGGTTTAAAGAAATCTATTCAGGAGTATAGCATCATAAAAAACCATAGTAGTTTTAAATGCGTATGGTGAATTGCACCAACATTGATTTAGTTAGCACAGAACACATTGTTGGGGGACTTCATGTAAAAACATTTTCATGATCCCTGTGCACCCTACACCAACATTGATATCTTCCACAACTGCAAGTGTTTTTACAGTGATGCTCACCATAGCTCCTGTAATTTCTACCTCCAATTGTTCATCGATAAGTAGATTATTCCTGTTCATACTGTCCTTCATAAATAACACAACAAATAACGAAAGACTCACATGTGGCAAGTACAATTCTCATAAGCTGTTATTTTATTGCAATTATGCTGTATTTTGACTGCACATATGCCACCACAAAATGATGACTCATGATACTTCCACAGGAAATCAAGGATCAGGACATTCCCTGAGGAAAAAATAAGATATGGGAAGACAGACATATGAAGACCAACTTCTCATTTGGTTCTCAGCATAAACAGCAATTACACTATCCTCACTAACTTATAGATCTTGGCAACAAAGACGCAGTATCTTTTCAAACAGGCAGAAACCAAATTCCTATTATTAAATGAGGTTTGTTTTCTAGAAGGCAAGTCCATCTATAAACAGCATTACAGCAAATGAAGTATTTGTGAATAACTGCACAACTAGAATATTGCAGACAATTTCATTCAGGCTGAGACACAAATAAATTATAAACTCTGAAAGAAAAGATTTTATTATTTTTAACCTTGAAATTTCCCAGTGGAATTACATTTTTCATATTAATGCTTAATAATAATGGAGATATCTTATCCAGAAGAAAGTCCTACATTTTTATCTAATAATTTTGAAGTTTTCCGAAGAGATTTTGGACCAGAAAACATATTTAATTCCTTTTTTTTTTTTTTTAAAGATTTTCTGACAATTGTTATCGATTTTATGTGTATTATACACTTTTTCTCTTTTTATGTATGGAGTTTTTCAAAAACAATGTGTTGTGTAATGTTACTTAGAGAAATATTTAGCAATTTTATATTAACGGACATACCTAATGCACATAACCACATCCTAAGATTGAAAATGCTCATAATGGCTTGTATCAGGCTGAAATATATTGTCATTTTCCATCTTAAAATAGGAAGGCATTAATACAGTAATCTGTAGTTGAATATTTTCCAAAGAATAAAAACCTTAACCCAACTATATAATTAAATAAAATGAATTGCATTTGCCAAAAATCTGTGTCAAGCACACCAAGTGCTGCAGCAGATAAAATACCACGCCTTCTTTAATCTTACAAACGTACTTAAAATGGCGGAACGAGTATAAAACCAATGAGGAACTAAGTAACAGAAGCACAACTAACATCAACATACATTTTCCCCCACCAAGTATAACTTGGGACTGAATGTTTAAACGAAAAGCCCAGGCACATTATGTCAAGGGCTCAAAGTTGATCCCACATTCTTGTTTCAGGTTAAACATATGAGTATTTTTTTATAACTTTCTGTCACCCGACAAATGATCTCTCGGCACAGTCAAGGCAGCAGAGAATTGTGGGTGCTCATTATTTCTCCCAAAGGTAAGTTCCATTCAAATTAAAATCAGAATGCCATAATTATATTTTGTAGTGAAAATTTCTATCCTTTTTTTTTTAAGTTCAATAATTCAAAAGGGAAGGAAAAATGTCCATGTCTTTACATGACATCCCAGAAATCAATCAAGTCACTAAACCAGACAGCAGTGGAAATTAGCTTTTTTTAGGAAAGTCTCCCTTAACATAGCCATCCTCAGAAAGGTGATCATAAACACTATACTATGGGATTACATCAGAAAACTGGTTTCACAGTGAAATGTGGGAGATGCAGATTTATTCCTTCTTTACTTGGGATGCAGCCTGCTTGGCCTGGTGAGCCTGAAGCACAGCTACAGCCTCTTCAACCTGAAACAGGAAACAGTTATCAATTGAATAAAAAATTTCCTTGGATATTATCCATCGTCTAGTAAATATAAAACGTAAAAAACGACGTTTCGGAGATGGGACTCTATCTCCGTCTTCAGGTTCCTACACAGTTGGGCCCACTAGATAGAGCCAATCCCTATCTCCGGACAGTTATCAACTTCAGAAACCAAAAACAAACATTAAGACCCTCCTCACACACTTGGTGTTTGCCTTTCAACCTTTTCAAATTGGCCCTCAGGGTGTATCATAAAAAGGAGTTCGAATTGGGTGGTTTGCGAGCGATGATGGCACAAGGAATTAACAAAGATAAACATATTTTCTTAAAACTGAAATCCTCGTCTTCCTCCATTGCATATGATGGCCTTCTGGGGATAAGATCAAATATAATGAAAACTAAAGAAGGATGCAAGATACTCAAGGAAAATAACATTTTAAACGAACTTGTGAATTTCTTGCGTAAGCCAAATGAGAATATCCTCGATGTGACTCCCGAGTATTTTGGGCAATTGCTGTTTAGACAATGACTGCAGGAACAAAGTAGTCAATTATGGAATTGTGAGTCCACTTGCCTCAATCATCCACAATATTTCAAGAGACAGTATTCATTCATATGTCTAAAGGTGGCGACTGACTTGTAACATTTACTCGTAATGTAACATTCGCGGCGAGCATGTTACATTACACCACAACTGGTGAGGCGCATCGAATGCTCGTTTTGAACGCTCGGCTTGACTGTGCTTGTGTGCGCTCCATTCATTTCATTCAATATGTCAGACGTGGAGGTTGTGTTATCTTTGTTTCATTTAATACGCTACTGTTATTTAAAGAACTCGTGAATGCTCGTTACGACACCGATCGACTGACTGACTGACTGACTGACTTGTAATGTAACACTCAAAGGGATTCGCGAAAAAACCGACAACACGATGGAGCGCCCGCGAGCGTGAGCGGCCCCGTTCGCTGTCTTCACTTGTGTAATGCTCGATTTATGTTACAAGTCAGTCGCCACCTTAAGAGTAACAGTGCTACACATTCTACAACAAAATATTTTGTTACCTTTGCCTTGAGAGACTCGTGATGTTCAAGCATGTGAAGAAGCTCAGAGTTGTCTATCTCTAATAGCATGCCGGTGATCTTGCCAGCCAAGTCTGGATACATACGCTGGATCAACGGGAACAACCGTTCACCCAGCATCTGCTTTTGCTCCTGTGGTGGGGCAGCTGCCAGCATTGATGCAGTCAGAGGTTCCTGCCCCTGAATGTGCACAGCCTGAAAAATATCATCTTAAATTACTTCTTGGCCCAATGTGGGAATGGTCACATGCAGATGAGGGGTGACACTGACATCCACGTTGAACTGCCAGATGCTGCAGGGTGGAAGGAATTATGACTATAGTATTATATTAAGAGACACATACGCTCGACCTTCAGCTTGCTGAGGTGTCGGTCAGGCATAAAATAAGTTACATTATACCTATCAATGATAAAATCAAGGAAGATAAGATAGGTGATGCATGTAGCTTGGGAAACATGAAAAATGCATACAAAATTTTGATTGAAGGGGGGAAAAACTTTTTCAAGATGTAGGGTTATATTAAAATGGATCTTAAAAAAATCCCAGACATTAGCATACAATTACAATTCCCTAATTTTTTACAAAATATTACTTCCTTTCATTACTAACATCGCCATTCAAGGATAAGCTTTCGGATTCATGCCGGTACCTATGACATTTATTTTGTGGAAGGATGGAGACAATTAAAATGGACAAAGGAAAACCTTTACATAAATAAATGGATTTCAATACAGTGCTGAAGTTGCAGATGTATTTAAATAATTTTCAGATATATCTTGTCCTAGAAATTGTGGAAGAAACTATGCACAGCAGTTTGGAGATTCTCAGTTCAATTTGTTTTCCAAATGGTCCAGAGCAGGGCCATAGGAATGTGTTGATGTAAGTCCTGGCACTATTCACTTGTACTGGTGGGGACTGTAAACCAAAAAATCAGTAGACATACCATTTCTCATTTCCTTTGACAGATGTGAAACAATATGCAGATTTTTGCATTTCTTGGGCAACAATTCAAGGACACAAACTATAAAATCCCAGCCCTGTCAGGAAACAAACCCTGGACACCCAGCCCAAGCTGATGCATTTTAATTTCCTTAACAACTTTCAATTTTATTAATTTCATATTTTGTCTGGTTGTTCACTTCAATAATGTAAAGTCTGAGTCTACACATACCTGCTGCACGGGTGGCTGTTGGGCAACAGGCATCGGCTGTGGTGGATTGCGCATGTTTGCTGTATACTTGTAATTGGTTGGCCGGCCCTGTGCATTTACTGACACTGTGGGTGCCATTGGACGCCCCTGAATGTTTGCAGCACCTACTGGTTGCTGGCCTGGGCAACAGATGTATACACACAAATTTTTTTTCAACACTCCTAACCAGATCCAATATTCGCGGTTTTCACTTATATAATTACAGGCAGCCCTCGATTTACGCCTGGGATGTGTTCCTGGACGAACCGGCGTAAATTGAAACTCTTTTATAATGTAAATTAATGGGAAGTCAATGACATGCATTCCCAGTACCCAAACATTGACGAGTAATATAATGGCATTATATTTAAAGTTCTGAAATAACGTAAATAAAATAAAGGGAATTTAAAAAATATATTTTATACACCTACAATCGGCAATTCGTTGGTCCCCGCGATTTTTTCATATGTTTGATGTGTACAGTCATCTCTGCTGTTATGCAATAGTTGCATTCATGTAAGACGCTGAACTATAGAAAATAGCGTAGTAAAAAAACAAAACAAAAAACAGGTACCTCCGCAGAGATTAAATTAGTCCTCTGGAAGTTTAAAGCGCCAGGAATGAAACTGCATAACAACAAACTTGCATATGCAAAAGTTTGCACTTCACAAACAGCTTTTTCCGATTCATCGATCTCATTGGAGCAAATTCGCGTTAACGAAACATACGTAATTGCAGAGATGACTATTTATAATTTTTATTAAAAATCAGCGATGTAAGAATTACGATTATAAGAATCAGTACGAGAAACATTGTAAAACGTTATAAATAGTAAAATATTTTTCTTCTTCACTTTTTGACTTTCTGGTTTCAAAATCCGCGTTGTTCTGAATCGGCGCAAATCGAGGGTTACCTGCACTAATATTTCAGAACATTTAAATAACAAACTTATTTCACCTAAATTCAACAAAATCCCTCATTTCTGGTACAGTAATCAAATGCATTTCAATTTACGTGGTAATTGTATAATATTTTTAACTAAGACATTCATGTCCATGCCCGATTTTGGGTGTTTAACAATGGTTTACAGAGGATACCATATCAGTTATACTTTGAACATACTCAGATCATCATCTGCCATTGATTTATTTACCATGTAAGCATTTTATACTGCAAAGTGTTACACTAGTACGACACTGAAAATGGCATGGCCGAGAGGAAAGCCAGCAGTATAACACCTGAGAGTGAGGCATTAAATAAGCTCTATGCACACATATTTATGTTTTTGTGTGTTTACATAACATACGAGACACACCTAACTATATAATTAAATGGGCCAATTTTCCTTGAGAACCTGATCAACCACTCGGCTGAACAGGTTTTCACTTTTTTTTTGCTGCATCAAAGGATTCTTAAACACAGCAGCAAGAACATGTTTCAATGTTAACCTCTGTACCTGTAATAGGTCTCGCTGACAGTGCATTCCGCATGGAGCCCGGCTGGACGCCTGGGGCACGGGGAGCCGTTCGGAACGGGCCCTGCATATTTGGGAAGCCAGAAGCTCCACCCTGGGCATTTGGGCGAACTTGCGGTTGAGCAGGCCAGCGTGGAGTAGCACGAATCTGAGTCATCGGTGTTGGACCATAGAATCTCTGAGGCTGAGGCAATGTTGGTACGAAGTAACCACCAGCACCACCTGGTTGGAACATTTGCTACGAACAAAAAACCTTGTCAGTACACAGTATCATTTATGAAGTCACATACCTACAAAATGCAGAATTTTATGTACTGGTTCATTCTATTATGTGCAACCCACATTTAACATTTCTCGATTTAAGCCTTTTCTGAATTTAGTGAACAATCTTACACCATTTCAATGCGAGTATAAATAAAAATCTCACGCAACAATTTCATAAGAAATCGATGATATTACATTTAAGAAAACACTACATATATATATGCAGTGTTGATGGTGCAAAAGTCACTCTTACTAGTAATTTACATTATCTATATTTTAATGTACAATTAAAATAATCAGCACTGCTTTAGAAATCCAAAATTTCAGATGCTCAGAAATAGAGGTTTGAGTCCTATCACCCAAGTCTGGTATTAAAAGATTTTATAATGACCTCAATACATCACTATCTCACCAATAAAATCTTCTCCGTAAGATTTGAGGTTTTCTCTGCGGTAAGTATGAAGATTTCTGTCTTCTGGGTTGTAGCGCTGTGTAGTACGGTACATGTTTACCAATGTTTCAGAGGTCATACTGCCTCCGTCATCAGGGTGATGAATGACGACGGAGGCAGTATGACCTCTGAAACGTTGGTTAACATCGACCAGACTATACAGCAAAACAACCCAGAAGACAGAAATCTTCATACTCATCGCCCTGATGATGGAGGCAGTATGACCTCTGAAACGTTGGTAAACATCGACCAGACTACACAGCGCAACAACCCAGAAGACAGAAATCTTCAAAATCCTCCCCATTTGTTTTTCCTGAATTTATCTTTTAATCCATGAGTGATATCAGACAGTATAGCCAACTGCTATAAACTGGACAGCTTTATTTTTATCGCAACCATTACGCCCAGTCCCCTGCCAATTGTTCATAATGAGCCCATTCCTCCAGGAGCCAGAGTATGAAACTGACTACCCACCACCAACTAATGCAGTCTTCACAGCATGAGGTTTCTTACCTTTACCGATAGAAGTTCCTTCACATGAACGTAAATGTTACAAAAAATTAAATTTCCCAGAGACATGAAACGGAAACTAACTTTTTAATAAGTTGGCTACTAACAGTGCAAGCCCTGATGAAATCACCAGAACATTAACGGAGATGTGTACTACTGTCTGAGTAGTAAGCATCACGAAATAAAACATTCCGAAGAAATAAGAGAAGGAAATAATAACCCTATGCAGAAACCATAAATATTTTGGTACTCGTGGGTTATCGGGACACATCGCTTTAAAAATAGGTTAGGTTAGTTGTCATTTATTGAAATAAAATATAATAACTTTCATGTATATGTCATTTATCCACACACATTAACCTAACCCAACCTATTTTTAAAGCGATGTGTCCCGATAACCAAGAAGTACCAATTTTTTTTAATGACAATGAAATATAGTAAAATTATGAAAATCAAGATGGCCACCAGAAACTGGAGACGTAAAGCAACAGTTGAAGAGAATTACACAGGACTGAATCTAAATTATGTCACCAGAATAAATTAGATATATATAGTATAAGAACACCAAACTTAAATTAAATGCTTTAAACTGTATATACTATTAACTGAGCAGGTGGCAGGAGTACTTACTGTTCCCATCTGCTGCATACGCATGTTAGCCATTCGCTGCATGTACTGCGAGGCAAGGTGTGCTTTGCGATCCTCCTTGCGTTGGGCCAATGCAACATACAAGGGCTTGGTGCCAACAATTCGGCCATTCATCTCAGTCACAGCCTTTGTAGCCTCCTCTGGAGATGAAAAGCACACAAAGCCAAATCCCTTGCTGCGACCCTCCTCCAGCATCACCTGAATAAACATGAATTCATCAGTAGAGACTAATTACAATAAAATTTGTACATGATTTCAAGACGGCCACCTAATTATTTATGATCTAGTGGTGTGTGTGTATAAGCGATCTTTACCTTGGCACTGGTGATGGTTCCAAATGGTGTGAACTCCTTACGAAGGCGTTCATCGTCGATAGTGTCATCCAGGTTCTTCACGTACAGGTTAACCCCTTGGTAGCGGTTAAGACGTTCAATCTTGAGTTGTTCAAATTTACGTTTAAGCTCTTGCTGACGTTCGGCTTTCTTCTGGGCACGGCCGACATATAAAGGCTGGAAAGTAAGACAATGGACCACAACCATGAATATATTAAATAAAAACAAGTGAAACACAATCAAGTTGGTTATTAATTGTATTAGACATTGATGCATTCCCATACCTTGCCTTCAATCAGTTCTTTTCCATTAAGTTCATCTACAGCCCTTTCAGCATCTTCAGGTTCTTCAAATGCGACAAAACCAAAACCACGGGACTTTCCGTCATCTTTGTTCATGACCTAGGGCGCAAGTAAAAACATTTTAAACTGAGGTACAAACATCCAATATTATAAATTATTTACTGAGGAAGGAACTAGGCTTGAGGAAGTGATGTTGAGCGTTGGCAAAACTATAAATATGATTTTCACTAACAAAATATTCATCACAGGAGAGATCTCCTACATACATCAACTTATGACAAAATTTCATGTTTCTAAACCCTATTAGTGCATGAGGACATCATTTCTTCAGGTCCCCAGGATCTTGAATTGTTTTATGCATCTCTTTGCACCAATAGTCTGTATCCCAGCGTCTACTTCGGTATTTTGTCCTCATTCTGCCCGTGTGTTGCAGTCAGTTTATTAACGATCTTCAGTGTCAAAGATATTTAAAATACAATGGAACCTCAATATAATACAGGTGTTAGGGGACAGCTTTAGTACTGGTGTTTGAATCGTACAACATTAAACATATGTAACTGTATTGGAGGGCATATCAAAGCCATGGCATGTCTGAATTCACAGCATAACTAGGCGCATGGTTTTAATGTTCCACCGTATTAAATATTTATGTGTGATTCCATTAATGTAGTATTTCAGTATTTTTTGAGATAAGGTACCCTAATATTTAAAAATTAAAGAACACCAGTTTGTTACCTTGTGGCTGGTGATCCGGCCATATTTCTCAAACATCTCTCGCAACAGTTCATCACTGAAGTCCTCGCCAAAGTTTTTAATGTAGACGTTTGTGAACAGCTTAGCCTTCTCTCCAAGCTCCTTCTCACGCTCCTTGCGTGGTACAAATTTGCCAACAAACACTTTCTTCCCGTTCAACAACATTCCATTCACTTTCTCAATAGATTTTATGGCAGCTTCTTCGGTCTCAAAATGGACAAATCCATATCCTTTTGATGCTCCAGTTTCATCTTGAGCAACCTAATAAGAAATTATCAAGGATAAATCATCAGATGAGCAGCAATGCCAAGTGTACAAGAGGAACACACAAAATCTCAGTCCTCCATGGCAAATGCTGGGATACTATCTTAAATTATGCCACAATTGCTTTCACTCACATTCCTACCAATTCATTATTCACTAATTATCTCATCATGTGACACTATTTTATAGTCTGAGCTACCAAGAGCAATACTCCAGAAAATATCAAGTGCTACCTCAACTACAAATCCCACCACCATCTTTCCATCAAACAGGCCATACTCTCCACATTGGTGCATAGGACCACAACCCTCATTGATCAACAAAGCTTGCGTAGTGAACTGGAGTTACTTATGGCCACTTTCAGGTAGAATGGCTACGGCAACTGACAGATTCAACGGCTCTCGACCTGGAGAAACCTGCCTCAGTTGCCCTCTTGCCCTGTGTAAACATGACCTTCGATTACATCAGCAGGCTGCTGTCCAGTCACAACTTTAATGTGGGCCTTCCCTTGAAGAAAATTCCCAGCTTTCTTCAGCATGTGAAGGGTGACTTGGGACTGAAGACTCCTGGTGTTTACAGTGTGCTCTGCAAGTGTGGTAATGTCTACATCGGGCAGACTGGCTGTTCTATTGAGAACAGAGCTAAGGAGCACCGGTGCCACATTCGGCTGGAGTGTACAGACAGATTCACTATGGCCCAAAACGGCATCAACACGAGCAACCGCATTCAACTCCAGGACAGCATAATCCTGTCTACCAAATCTAGATACATGGACTGCATGATCAGGGAGTCCATCGACATAGAGCTGCATCCAAGCAACAAACGTGGAGGATGACCTTTGCCTGAGCCACTCATTAAAGCACATCAACCACTCTTTCAAAGGATACAGGAAGCACCTGACAAAGCACTGCCACTCCCAACTGGGCCACTACACTGTCCTTCTCAAGATACAACCTAGCCCCAGATAGTCCTTACTGCCACCTTTCATGTTCCCATCACGTCTACCCACCTCCCAATTTCCAGTGATCCACCTGCCAGACCCTGAGGGGCCCTTATAAGGACCACAGTCTCAGAACCCCCCACCTCTCTCTCTCTCACGTCCTTTTACCCCTTCTGCTGGCCAAGCTTTGGCACACTCCCCCACTCATAATGGCTCCCATGCCCTAGCCTGATCCTGATTCCACTCCCCCCACTGGTCAGGTCAAGGCTCTGACTGTCTGTTTCCCATATCTCAAACTGATTCCACATGCCCAGATAACAGAGGCAGCAAGGACCTCTAAAATGCTGGTAAACTTCTACTAGATTACATGGTGCTACAACCCAGAAGACAGCCAACCTCAGACTCACCATCATGTAAACCAAAAATTCCATCCAAATTACTTCTTTTAATTTCCATGTTTCTGTTTCTCAAGAAATAACTTTGGATTGGTTTTCATTCTACATTCATGGGATGACAAATATCCAATATAGGCATGTTTCAATATAATTCAAGTTTTTGTGTAGTACCATGTGACTTACGGCCTTTTTTAAACGAAATCCCACAGATATGCAAAATGGTATAGCTTACCTAATTAAATCTAATCATAACTGGAACACTACGATCAAAATCACTCAAACACACAACATGTAGGGGATCATCATATACTGCACTTAACATAATTCAACTCATGCAAATGCTTACGAATACTGCACCATAATTTGAAGAGAATTCAACACATGCTCAAGTTACAAAATATTGCATTCAACATGAAATCCAACCAACCTACCATTCTCAACCTATTCCCTGAATACAATGTAGCAGTTCCATCTGAAAAACCATAGTATGTTCTAAATTACACAAACAGATGCCACTTGATATTGCAACCAACAAGTGAGCACATCCATATCTGTAGACAGCAGTTTCTACCTCACTGCAGTGTATTCTACTCCATATGGATATCAAAATATACATTTATCTAAACTTCAATACATATATTGCAGTTATGTTCAATCTGTGGCAACATAACATTTGATGACAGCCATCTTCAGACTCACGCTGTGAAAATCTCAAATCCTATAACCTAACATAGCTGCATCACTTTGAAGTTTGACATTCAGAACTGTCCACACCAATACCATAACCTCAAAGATCAGGAATACAGTTTCCAATGAAATTCATAAGTTAAATTATATGAACACCACAATATAATACTGTGAAAACATACCTTACAACTCAAGATGTTTCCAAATGCAGAGAACGTGTCGTACATAGCTTTATTATCAATACTTTTATCCAAGTTTTTTATAAAAACGTTTCCAACACCAGACTTGCGAAGGGAAGGATCCCGCTGTGACCACATGATGCGAATGGGACGCCCTTTTATCATGTCAAAATTCATGGTGTCCAGAGCTCGCTCCGCTAAAAGAAACAAAGAAGTCTGCAATACCATACAAATTTACAAGGCCTGTCTAAATTTTTAAAATTACATACTAATGAATGGACACAAAAAGACAATGAAGATACTAAATGCGTGAGTGAATTACCATCTGCTGGTTGCTGGAAGTTGACATACGCATATCCCAGGGATCTGCGAGTAATCATGTCCCTACAGACCCGAATCGAAAGTACAGGGCCAGCAGTGGAAAATTTTTCAAACAGCATGGCCTCCGTAACATCGTGGTGCAAGTCGCCAACATACAGCGAGGCCATAGGATAATTGGGACCACCAGGATTCATTTTTGGGTTGTTACTTATACTTTACCACAGCTGCAAATATTATGATGCAATAAAATGTCAATATGCGGAATTTCCTTTCTTCCAAGAGAGTAACTAGCTTCAGATTCCTTTCAGAATGCCCACGTTGTACGATCACGAACTCACACACTTCAGTCAATTTGTTTCACGTTATTTTTCACAGCTTTTTCGATTTTTTTTGGATTTTTAGTACTTTTATACTTTTTTTTTGTGTTTTTATGAATTATATCACGAAATGTAGGTGGGTTGTGTAACCTATTTTTGAGGAGACACAACCACACACGAACAAACCCTACTCAATATGAGGAAGAGGCAACGGAAGTAGGTCGCGGATGGTTTATATAATCTACCCATAGTACTCTTCCGCGACCGTTGTTCGACAAAAAGTAGGACTCCACATAATATTGTATATAAGTTATAATAAAGAGAACACGTAACTTTCTAAATATGATTTTAGATATTCATACATAGAACATCATATGCTAAAGATTTAAGAGCAACTGTGTTACCAAATAAGCAATAAAATCTTGGGATGACGGGTACAGTTGTGAACTATCAAACACTCGAACATCGAATAGTCTCGACTCGTGATTGGTAATCGTAACCAGGCGTAACCAATGAACAAAACAAACGAGGGTGAAATTGATTTTTATAAATTTGGTATCTTTGACAGTATGCAATTACAATACACCACATTTAAGGGGAATATGGAATAATCTTGCAATCAGGAAATCGAACCATTTAAAAAATTAGAAAAAACAATGCACTAAACAAGCACTGGAGTACACAGATTAAGAGAACAATATACATTTCTAAAAAATTGACAGTGTAACCACAGTTCCAGAGAATCTGACGTAAATACTTCTTTGTATTTAAATTATATTTAGGCAATAAATACAATGAAAGGAAGTTTATATATTAGTTTTATTCTAAATATTCCCTTTATATGTGCTTTACAATTGAGTAAATAGTTTGATTAAGACATGGCTTATTTAACTTGAATTAGTTACGCTTAAGATGGGTCTGTGGTAGCTGAAATGTTATAAAATTTGTGCACTTTAGAGTATCAACATTTCGTTAAAACACCATATCTATACAAGATTTGACATTAAGCCAAACGTTTCCTCCATAAATATATAAATAAATGTTTGTAGAACCTAAACCATTTGTGATATGTAAAATCTGAAAACAGATATGGAAAGCTCAAGAGGTAATACGTATTTCGTACACAATATGTCCAGATCCATCTGTTACAGTTTTCGAGAGGCGTGCGCTTAACGCTTAACGTGATGAACAATAATAATAAATAGGAATCCTTTACCTCAAACTTTGTTCAATTGTAAGAGACCACGAAGTCCACCCACAATGTCCAATTTAATCAAAAATAAAATGTAGAGAGTTGAGGGCAGTATCACAGATTTCTTAATAATTCTTACATAAGATAAGTAATTGTGATATTCTAAAACGTTTTTACCAGCACAAAATTATCTACTCTACAAGGCACTTCTACAGTCGATTCACAGCTCGACTCTTTCCGCAATAACGAAAGATTTTGATCTAGTAGTACTACATTGAGGATTTGACATCAACATTAAGCCTAGCGTTTCTTAGGTAACAACAATTTGTAACAAGTGTACCTAGGGAACGTCGTGTTTACTCGGAATTGTTGTTACCTAGGAAACATAATTTGTTTACTCGGCATTATTGATACCTAGGTAGGAGTAAACACGACGTTTCCTAGGTAACCAGGTTACACTTTTTCGTTTCCCTTTTTCGTTACACATTTTTGCCGAATTACCCTTCCTTATAGACATATTTACGTCAAAATATTGGCTCGTATTATCTAATTTGAATTCGAACCTAGAATATATTTCCTGATTAATGTAGTCATGGTTCTTCCACACAAATTCATGGCATGTTCCTCAAAACAGACCATGAATGTCTCCTTACATGATTCTTCATTTACAGTCATCCAATTATATATCGTTTGACATCACATAACCTTAACGGATGAAACAATGCCATAAGTAAACTGATATTGTGACATCCTTGAGGCGCGGTGTCTAAATTTAGCTCTATTCCTTGCACTCTCCTTAATATAGGTGATTGTAAGTGGTATCCGGATATGACTTTAACTACATCTTAATATCATTGTTAGACCAATGTATTTAACTGATTCTAGGATATGAAAAATAATGTTTAATCGCTAGAATATAGCTGTATTAATTTAGATAGTTATTAATATAAAAAAGGTATCCTTGAATCTAATGACCACAAAACCAGTGAAAGTTTAGGTCACATAATGTGTACATGCGTGGTAAACTGTTCCAACTGCAGACCACATTCTGTGCAGATTTTACGGGAGTAATTGTTTTTATTGGTACATGTAAGGATATGATGTTAAATATGAATTTCATTGATGAGATTCAGTGATTTCTGTAGATTTAGTGTGCTTTGTGTTTTTAATTTTTGTTATAATTTATGGTCACTTCGACAGTTTCATTTTTATCCTCACCATATAACAAAATCTCTTTTAGAAAGAGGTGACACTTATTGAATTTATCCACTAAGCGCCAAAAACAAACAAACAAACAAAATGCTTAATAAGGTAATAAACAAATTATTAATTCTTCTTCTTATTTTTCCGGTTTAACAATGTCTTTGTACATTTTTCCGGTACCCTTTACGGGTCCCAACTTTCCGTTGGCTCGATCTATAGACATTTGGTAGGACTCCTTGGACGAGGGATCAGCCCGTCGCAAGCCCTCTACCTGTACTCAGGACAGCACAACACAGAAAAACGCGGACAAACATCCATGGCTTGAGTGGGATTCGAATCCACGGTCCCAGCGACCAAACGCCACAAGACCTGGATAACTAAATACATACACATACATAAATTAGTACCCTAAATAAATTCAAGAACATATATGAATAGTTCTAGATATGGATAAATATTAGAGTGTGTTTAATGAAGATAATGTATATACATGAATAAGTTTACATATAAATAAATATGCAGATTAATGCATTAATAAATGAACATATACAGACCTACATAAATATCTGTGATTTTCATCTATAAACACGCTTAAAAACAAAACACTTACAGAAATAAGCAACACACTCTAAGGTATTTAAAGATTGGAATCTGGAATGATAACCCCTTGAAGTCGAATATCATCTAATTTATATTTAAGAATTTAGCGTATAATGCAAAGAAAATGTGAATACTACTTCATTACAAAAATAAACTGGTTAATGCTGTTTGAGGAAAAAAAACCTTGTTTAGAGCGAGAATCATACAAAACTCATAAATACAAAATTTAGAGCAGGTGTCACATATTGTTACAATTGGATTTTAAAAAGTCAATGAAGATATCAAGGAAGGTTAAAAATGTAAATAAACACACAAATAGACCAGTACCACATTTATTTCTTCACTTCAAAAATTGTAGAAGTATCGACATCCAGTATATGTAATACTGAGACCAATTTTGAGTTTTCACTTTAAAATGAAATCAGAGCGATTTTAATAACTGAGAAATGAGAGGCTTGCATTGGACAGGCAGTTGGATTGAATGGCGATTATTGGTGGAGTGGAAGAGCAGGCTGCTATCCTGAGGAAAAGAGGTAATGAAAACATATTTGAAAAACACACGGTGAGGAAACGAGGTGACCTGCTGCCTGTCTATATAAGTCTCCTTAAAACGTTCAGTCATTACATATTTACCCTGAATATGAAAGCTGCAATCTTTGTCGAAACGTAGGCTAATTCTCAAATTTCGACGCGACTCATCCTCAAAAGCGGAAGTTGTACTCTGAACTCCAGCAGTTGAAACTAAGGGACAAAGAATCAACGTCGTTAGTGCTACGTCGACATTCCACTTTTGTTTTCATTGTGTTGGAGGTTGTTTTATTTGTAGGTAGAGACATAACGGAACAGTTCGAGGGAACATTTGAGGACTAAAGAGAATTTACATCGCATAATGTAGGTCGTAGCATTCCACTCACTCACCAGAGTATAAAGCGCACGACACGGAAAGCGGTACACAGCTGGGCTTGGAATAAAGTAACCAAAACCTACTTCACGTACCATTTAGCACACTGAAGCAAATAGGACTACTGGCATATTGTGTTAGCACAAGCTGCTAGTGCCAAAGACCACTCCTTCCAATATGAAACGATTCAATACTAATTTCATTCATCTCCCATACTCACAACACCTCAGTCTTGAAAGTTTACCCACAAATATTCTACATGCATTTTCTATCTTCCACACGAAGCTTCATACATTTCACTATCCTAACTAGGAAAGATGTCAAAAACCACATAATTGTCCATCACGTGATATGTAAACTACTCACATACTTCATCTTTCTTATGTCTACCAGAACAACCCATTTAAAAATAATTGTAATTTATAATTTTCCTTTTACGTTTCACACCCATACAAAAACACTCGCATAGTTATTTTTTTTTTTGGTATAATCTGTTTCATGATTTTGGAAATTAAACGGGCTAAATAATAACATTCGTTTCCAGAATCTATTCTGTTTAATTACGAAACTCCCATCTATCTGTTACTGTTGAAACACCAGTTTATTACATACTGTTATATAACGACATCGTTGTTCATTTCGCTTTAATTCTATTTTTTAATTATCTGTTGTAAAGGATATAGAAGGAATCGACCGTGGCCTGATTTAAGTTAATATCCTACCATTTTCCTCGAAGAAGAACCTACGTGGTATTAAACAAGACACGTCTACAGGGACGGAATTCGGCACGAGCTACATATTTAAGGTTTTAAAAATGGAAATGCCGTGGCTTTCAAGCCTTAACTATGTCATCACACACCAACCGTGTTATCAGCAACAGGTAATCAATTTTTATCTGTTTACTGTGTGGGTGGCTGACAGTGTAGACAAACTCAAAGCGTGGTTTTATTTTATATCTTCCTTGATTGTAATCATGTTCAGCGTCAGAATAATATGAATTACCATGAACCTTGAGCCAAAATGGTAAGATTAAAAAATGTAGCCTAGGACAGAGCTGAAGGGAAAACAGCACTGTAATTTTGTTTTAAAAATTTTTTAATTAATATTTTGATACTTTAGTAAGGTTCTAAGGGAATTTCTATCATAAATAAGGTAATACTGTTTTTTTTTTCTCTGCAGAATGCTATGCTCATTGAATGGGGAATATTTCACGTGTTACAGCCATCTGGTGAATGCACACTGCTGCTTGATGGAAAGGTCGTATCCTTCCAGTTAACAGAAAGTCCCCTTTGCATACAGCACAACAGAATAATACATAAAACCTTCAA